TTACCAAAACCTAAGAAAAGGTGATCAATGACTGTTTAATTAACTTTCATCTTTTTCTTAAATTTCTAGTGTATGCTATTATACAAAGTTGCATATTTATTTCACTTTCAAGTACCAGACAAGGGAAAAATACTGTTTGCAGTATTCTGTAATTCCTTTTATCAGCAACAACAGAATGTATGCATTCTTACATAGAATTACAGTTAAAATTTGAAGTTTATAGGTTCAGGGATTTTAGTCCTTTTAAGTTACTGTGTTCTAGATTAATATTATGTTCCTATTCAATGAATAGTTTTTAATACTAATATATTATTTGGATCAAAGCAACCACTACTAAAATAAATCACTATTTTTCCATAGAAATCTTCCACTAAAAAATGTTCAATCACAATTCTCACCGATTTTTTGATTGAATCGATGAGAAAACAAAAATAGTAATATGTTCATGCGGAAAAATTAGAAGGTTTTCCACTATTTCAATGAGAATTTGTTTCCCACCCTGTATTTTTCCACCCAGTGAGCTGGTTTGATGGAAAATGAGTGGAAAAAATCATGTTTTGTAGCATAAATTTTCCGCTAATTCACAGTGGGAAAAATATTTGTTTGTAGTAGTGTATTGGGTTTGGTCAAATCCGTAGCCAAAACGCTAGCTCTGCCCCTTAACAGAAACTAATACTAGACTCTTTTTGCTTAAATTTATGTGTTGTTGATTGGTTGAGGATACTGTTGTCAACAGATATACTTGCATCAAGTGAAGTTGTAAAGAGGAAAAGATGTTACGCTGTCCAAATTACCAGTTGCTTTCACTTGTTTTGATCTTACTGTTAATAATGGTTGATCCAAGTTCAGAAGAAAGCCGTGTGAAATCTGCTGTGTTTCTATCACCAGCGTTTGTGCTGGAACCTGGATCTGTCTCTAACAAGTTTTACTACAACATTGGCTTCCCAAAAGGCCATATTGCTATCAAAAATTTAGATGCTGAAGTAGTTGATGAGGGAGGGAATCCTGTACCCCTTTATGAGACATATCTTCACCACTGGATTGTTGTAAGATATTATCATCGAAAAGGTGTGGAAGTAACAAAGTTCCATGATGATTTGGGGTTCCACCAATCAGATTTTATTGTCAAGAGAAACTCAGGGGTATGTGATAGAGGCCTTCCAGGGATATGTGATGGAGGCCTTTCTCAATATTTTGGCCTTGGGTCAGAGACGCGAAAAACAATCACCTATGTTCCAGACCCTTATGGAATAGAAGTCGGTAATCCAGTCGAAGTACCTCCTGGATACGAGGAGAAATGGTTGCTCAATTTACATGCAATTGATACACGAGGTGCGGAAGATAGATTGGGATGTACTGAATGCAGGTGTGATCTTTATAATGTTACCAAGGACGAGCATGACCGAGTTATAGAGCCAGATTACATTGGAGGGTTGAGATGTTGTTACGATGAAACAAGATGCAGGGTGAAAGACGGATTCCAAGGATCGAGGAGAAGCCTGTACCTGAAGTACACAGTGAAGTATATTGATTGGGAGGCCTCCATTGTGCCTGTAAAAATTTATATACTCGATATAACTGATACATGGAAAAAGCCAGAAAAATCGACTGCAACTGTGGCAAGACATCCCTGCCAGGTGTGAGCAGTTCCCTATGATAATCACTAGAGAAAATGATAATTCAGCTCATAACTCAAATCATTTTTAACTCTTTACTACTGCATATATATGGCTAAAATTCAGGCAATTTCTTTTACTTCAGATCGAATATTTAGTGGAGTCATGTTCGTCAGCTGTTGCAAATATCGATTGTACTCATACAAAGAAGATAATCCTAACTTTTCCTAGCGGCGGAGATGTCATCTATGGAGTTGGTCATCAACATACAGGAGGGACTGGTATAGCACTCCATGGAGTGGTACTCTGAGCTATTATATTTTGTTTCTTTGATTATGTTCTGCTTACCATCTGGATTACTTGTATACATTTCCTATATATTTTCAGACGATTAACTTACTGATAGAAAACAAAGATTTTTGTACAATAAACCTTTTCTTTTAATTATACTTGTCATCTTAACACTGGTTATGTATGCCACGACTTTCAAGACCAGATTGATTGAATCCATATCTAATCTCGTTCTCTTAACATCCGATAAAAGAGAAGTGTTGTTAGCGTTCATTTGACATGATTGTCATACTTCAGAAGATTATTTTGTTGATTCAAACTGTTATGTCCCAGACTGTCAGAATGGTATCATTTTAGTTTATCTTCAATTAGCTGCAGAAAGGTTGATGTTTTTTATTATACTGAATGGAGCCTCCTGCCCGTTGAGACAATTAATGGCCGTGTTATATTGTCTGCTTAGTTAATATAATGGTCCCTCGATGAACTGCATCATTTTATAGGAGATAATATTGTTTCTTGATAGTTAACTGCTTTAGTTTTGTAAGTACATAAGTGTAAGTTCAGTACTTGTGTGGGAACTCAGGAAGATAAGCTAGTGTATAATGACATTGCTATAGGGTAGTAAAGAAGTAATAATAGTTGTTGCGTGTTTGTATAGCATATTATTCTCAATTGTCATCATGCTTAGCTAAGCAGATTTACTTGTTCTGATTTGTGGAGCACCTTGTTCGTTGGTGTTTGGTGTTGGTTATTTCTTAATTTCTTCTTCTCTGTTTCCGCTGCTTTGGTCTAGGATGGACGTGTCATATGCTCATCTCTTCCAATCTATGGGGAAGGAAAGGAACCAGGAAATGAAGCTGGTTACATTGTCGGGATGTCTACTTGTTATCCTAGACCTGGCTCTATCAAGATCTCGGAAGGGGAGACTGTAACTTTACTATCAAACTATAGCAATGCCCAGAGGCATACAGGAGTGATGGGGTTGTTCTATCTCTTGGTTGCTGAACCATCACCGAAGCCTAATTCTATCCTACATTCCACAGATGAAGTAAGATCTTTGACTCATTAAAAGTTTTCGAGATTCAGAGTAGTGAATTTCCTACTTAAGTCTACACAAGATCATATATTTCTGAACTTGTTTCTTCTTCACTATTGCAGACAGGTGAGATTGTAATATTGCAGAATGCTATTGGAGCCTTGGCAGCAGTGTTTGGAATTGCACTACTTGTTGGTGCTGCTGTTATTTATCAACGTCGGAATCAAAGGGATCAGGAAGGCTATGAGTCTATACTGATGTGAGGTTCTTTCCCTTCTGGTGACTCTGGTCCCTAGTGTAGTACACAAAATGCAAGTTATGATCTCCCTTCTTTTCGTGGACTAGTTCCTCGACACATGTGTTGCACTTGTATGTCAAGTCATGAATTATACGGTTTTGTAAAATAATATTGATATTATTAAAATAAAACTTCGAGTAAATGATAGTACAAGTGTTAGTGAATGATCTATCTTTGGATCTTTGTATAGTGACATGTTTGTTAATGTTAAGAAGTTGAATAGTTAATTAGCATTTAATTAGATAGATATTATCTAGCAAAAATATTCTTTAACTTATAAGTAGGCTTCCTACTTCTAAAAGTAAATAAGTTAACATTTAATTTTCAATTTGAATATCTCAAAAGCAAAACAATTTGGTTAGTTGACATCTTATTTTGCAGTGAAATTGCAAGAAGAATTAATTTATTTCCAAGAGGCTACTGTTGCCGTGAAATAACAAAAAAGAATAATTTATTCGAAAGATGTTACTTTTGCCTTTCTAAGGACAAAACAGATCTTGAATTCAGCTAAAATTATTGAATTAGGATTAAATATAATAATGTCAGAAGCAGATTTAAGGGAAAATTACGCAACAAGGCAAAATGTGATATGTATTTACGATAAAATATTATAATTCGTAGCTATATGTAGGGTTTTATATATTGTATTCAAAAATCTATTTTGTATTTTGTATCAATTGTATTCATGATACAATGAATATAATATGCATTCATCCCCTCTTTCAAATATATTATGTATCAATTATATCCAATCAAAGATAGGTGAAAGATTTGTATTTTATATCAGTTGAGAACTACCATTGTCATGGGATTGCTCTTCATTTATTTCATCACAAAAAAAAACTCCTAATTTCTCCTACATTTTTTAGTCTCCACACTGAATTTTTACTAATCTGGTAAGTTTGTCTCTTATTAATTCCTTTTTCTAATACAAAATTATTTCTATTCTTCCTGTACATAATAAGAAAATGAGTATGTAAAAACAATAACACTCACTCTTTTGTATTCAACACGTAAATATGGTGTACTATTTCTTAATTTCCTAGTATATGTTAGTATTATACAAAGTTGCATCTATTTATTTGACTTCCACTTACCACAATAATATTTGTAGTATCATATTAATGAATCTTCAGCTAGTTTTTGTTCTTTGTTCAACAAAAAAATTGCCTATTAATTTGCCTCCACCAAACTCCACCCATACTCGCTCCATTGTCATCCCTAGCCTTGCCCTACCATGGATTCAACCCACCCTACCTTGCCCCGTTTTGCTCCTCTATTTTTTTTTTCAAGTTTGCAATGGTAATTTAGAAAATAAGAAAAATGTAATCAATGAAGCTTTGTTTCTCCTAAGAAATTAACTAACATGTTCCTAATTACAAAAGTAGAATTTCACGAGAAAATGATCAAAATGGTCCTCAATGCATGAGTAATGATTTTCTTGGTCCTTAATGTATTTCACTTGATTGGAATGATCCTTAATGTATAATAAAGGTGTTCAGTTTGGTCCTTAATATATTTCACTTGATTGAAATGATCCTTAATGTATAACAAAATGTGCTCATTTTGGTTATTAACCCTAAACTTAACAAATTTATCAAAAAAATAATCTTATATTTAACTGTGGACTCCACGTGACTAACAAAATTCATCATTGATGTCTTCTTTATTAGCTTCCAAGAAATACTTCATGAAATCTAACATCATTTTCTCCACCTTCTCTAACAATATTTATTATTTTCTCTTGCTAAAGATTGAAATGGGTGTTAGGTTCGTAGAATAATATTATAGAAAAGAGAAAATAGTAAATTTTGTTGGAGAAATTAGAGAAAATGGTGTCAGATTTATGGAATTCTTTCTTTGGAGCTAATAAAAAAGACAACAATGTTAAATTTTGTTAGTTACGTAGGGTCTAAAATAAAATTTAATACTTTTTATTTAGATATAGGGTAAAAGACCAAAATGAACAGTTTTTGTCATAGATTAAGGACCATTTCAATAAAATAAAATACATTAAAGACCAAAATGAACATCTTTATTATACATTAAGGATCATTTCAATAAAGTGAAATACATTATGGACCAAAATAAAGCATTACCTATACAGGACCATTTTGGTCATTTTCTCAGAATTTCACACATGCCTATTGTTTAGCTCGATGAACTTAAGAGTTTTAGGGGTCGTTTGGTACAAAGTTTAATAACGCAGGGATTAGTAATGCATGAATTACTAATGCAAGAAGTAGTAGTGCAGAGTTTATTTTTATCTCCTTTTGAGTTGCCTATGTCTCCAGTCTCCAAACTCTGTTTGCTTAAATTCATGGGTTGTTAATTAGTTGTGTATACTGTTGTCAACAGATACACTAGCATCAAGTGAAGTTAGAAAGAGAGAAAAAAATGTCAGCCTCTTCAAATTACCAGTTGTTTTCACTTGTCTCCATCTTACTGCTAATAACAGTTGATTGAAGTTCACAATCTCAAGCAACACAAGAAAACAGTGTGAAATCTGGTGTCTTTCTATCACCAGCGTTTGTGCTGGAACAAGGATCTGTCTCTCACAAGTTTTACTACAACATTGGCTTCCCAAAAGGCCATATTGCTATCAAAAGTTTTGATGAGGCAGGGAATTCTGTACCCCTCTACGAGACATATCTTTACCACTGGGTTGTTTCGAGATATTTTAATTGAAAAGGTGTGGAAGTAACAAAGTACCATTATGATTTGGGGTACAGATTCTATTATTAAGTTACCTCAGGGATATGTGGTGGAGTCCTTAGTACTGTATATTTTGGTGTTGGTCCAGAGACCCCAAAAACAATCATCTATATTCCAAACCCTTATGGAATAGAAGTCGGTAATCCAGTCGAAGTACCTCCTAGATACGAGGAGAAATGGATGCTCAATTTACATGCAATTGATACACGAAGTGCTGAAGATAGACTGGGATGCACTGAATGCAGGTGTGATCTTTATAATGTTACCAAGGACGAGAATAACCGAGATATAGAGCCAGATTACATCGGAGGCTCGAGATGTTGTTACGATGGAACAAGATGCAAGGTGAAAGACGGATTCCAAGGATCAAAGAGAAGCTTGTACCTGAAGTACAGAGTGAAGTATATTGATTGGGATGCCTCTATTGTGCCTGTAAATATATATTTACTTGATATAACTGATACATGGAAAAAGCCAGAAAAATCGAATGCCACTGTGGCAAGACATCACTGCAAGGTATGTGTTGTTGCCATTTTGTTGCTCTCAAGTGTTAGATTAGTTTTATTTTTAGTTTAATCTTCAAATAATGTTGTTATTCGTGATTTGTTTTTGTCATTTTTTTTACTTTTCAGTGTTATATTATTTTATTTTGTTTTCATTCTCTATGGACTGCAAATTTTAATGTTTGCTTTATTTTTTATTGTTGTTTTATCTTTGTTAGATATTTTTTTTTTTTATGTCATAGCACTTCTTTTCAAAAGAATTTTTCAGTGAATCATTTTTGTTCCCATTTGTTATTGTTATTATGATTTTGTGTTAAAAATATAAATTTTGGCCAATGAAAACATCTCTCCGTCGGTTTTCGAGGCCTCTCTGATGTTAAAAGACAGAAAGTTAGTTTATGTTCATATTATTTGTATGTTAAAACTGGCCGATGAAGAAATTACCATCAATTTTCAAGGCCTCCCATGTTAATAAGACGGGTTTTTATTTTTAAGTTATTTGATTCATTTATTTTTGTTCATATATTTAACACTAATATTTTTACCAAGTGTCTTTACAGGTACCCCGCAATCGCTTCCCATTGAAGTCATTCGAATAAAGTTCGAAAACTATATTCATTATTATGTATATTGTTAACGACAGGCAAACATTAGGTCGCTTCTCAGATTACTTGTTTACTTTATTACTTGTCTATATCGCATGTTTGTTTTACTTGTATATTGTTTTATTTCCTCCAGAATTTGAAAAAATGAATTCAGTTGGGACCCACATTTGTGGATTTTGAAGGATGCCTAATACCTTCCCTTTGGAATAACTTGAACCCCTTACCTAGAATCTCTTGGTTTCGTAGATCATTTAATTGGTTTCCTAGTTTTTCCTAAAATTAGGTGGTGACTCCTTTTAAAATTCGTTTATTCTTAAGATTCTTATAAAATTGATTTAATTAATTATTTTTCGAGTCACCGCGACGTTTCGCCCTTACTTGAATAGAGTAGGGATGTAAACAGAATGACGACTGTGCTGGGGATATAGAGGTTCTAACCGTTATGAGTTGACTTTTTCAAATTGAGGGGATTTTTCTTTTATTGTGTTATGTCTTGTTTTTTTGTATATTTTGTTTATTATTTGTATATTGCATTTGTTGTTTATTTATTATTTGTTTAATTGTATGTATGTTGGCATTGCATCATGACATATTCCGCCATTTGGCCTTTTTTTTATTTCTTACTTAAAGGAGGATTATGTGGCTGCAATCGTTCATTATCCAAATTGTTTATCGGGGTACCTTGGCGAATGTAGTTGGCCACTGGATGGTCAACGGTCACTAACTTCCCCAACCCAAGTTGTCCACTTGGGTCACTGATCCACTTCAAATAAAATCCACTCTTAGTCAACTAGAGTAGAGCGAAGCCAAAATTCTGATTTAACTAAGACGACCCAACACCCCAGGCGTGTTAGGCCTATTAGAAAGACTACATTGAGTCCAAAATGGCCTCCGGCCTAAATGTACGATCATAATTGTGTGTCTAAATTTAAAGGATGTTTACGTCATTTGACAATTCATTGTCACTCGGGGTCGGGGGTTTATTTTAATAGCTTACTCTAGTCCAAGAAAGATCTTTACAAGCTACCATTCCATCCAAAAGGTGTTGGCAATCAGAGATAACAAGAAGTTCAAAAGGAAGTACTTTCCACAAAGGCTTAGTTTAGGATAGTACTCTTCCGTGTGACTGATTATTTGTATCATTTTTTCCTTATTTTGTAATCCTATTTGATTTATTCATAAAATTTGTACCAAGTGTTTTGGGAAACAATGTAATGTTGTCAATTGACGTAATACATCCTTCAGATCGGTAGGCCTACCCTTGGCACAAAATGGTCACATATTTGTATAAGATGCACAATAATTATTTGTATGTTATCTGATATAATTGAGTTTGTCTTCAATCAAAGCAGTGTTTATGTGTTTAATTAATACTCTGTGTGATATTTCGCATTATCCATTATGAACACGAACTAACACTTTTACTTTTTGAGTTTTTCTTCTTTTTAAGCGAGAGATTGATTTATGTCAGAATTTGGAAGTCACTGTTCATCCGAAATTACAAGGGACAGGAAGGCTCGCGAAATTTGAATTTTTAGATTTCACCAGACATTAATATCAAATAAGAAAAGATAAATCAGGGGAGTCTTTGACTATGAGGTCACACTCATTTATTTTTTGTTATTTTGCATGTTGGCCCTGCTTTCACACATTTATCATATTTTTGCAGGAAAATCATCCCCGACAGCAGTCGGGGATGGTGATAACAATTTGTAAATAATTAGGAGAACAAACAGTTTTATGAGACAATAAAAAAAGAATGCAACAATAAGTAGTTACTGTATAAATTGAGAGATCACATTCAGTAGACAGTACAAAGATCGACAATTGAGAAGATACAAGGAATTACTTTGAGTTTGTCTAAATCTTGAAATTGTTTTAAGTCTTATCTGAATGAACTACGCGAACCTGATTCTCATTTCGGTGAGATACGTAGGCAGCCATTCTTGGGTTCGATATTCATTATTTTAAATTCAAAAAAAAAATTCAAATAGTTTGTACATATTTTCAAAAACATATCTGCATGAACTACGCGAACATGATTCTCATCTCGGTGGATACGTATGTAGCCCTTCTTGGGTTCGGTATTTATTCTTTCAAATCTCAAAAAAAAGAAAAAAAAAAGAAAAAAAAAAGTAAAATAGTTTGTGCATATTTTCAAAGACATATCTGCATGAATTACGCACACCTGATTCTCATCTCAATGAGATACGTAGACAACCCTTTTTGGGTTCAGTATCCATTCTTTCAAAAAAAATGTTTTGTACATATTAAAAAAGTCATGTCTTCAGCTCAAATGGGACCAATGCAGTTATGAGCATGTAAAATTATTCGATATGATGAAGAGGACTGACTTTGTGGTAAATCATAGATTCTTTTGGTACCTCTCATTTCTACTTTTGTGATGCTTGAAAATTCTCTTGCATGCATTCAAGATAAGAATAAAATCAACCTCATGTTTTCATGTGCATTGTGTGGTGAGCTTTTAGATCGAAATTCAATTGCATTGCACTGTTGATCTAGAACTTGGCCTGAATATTTTTCGAGGTGAAATTCTGAGTATTGTTTTGTTTGGGAAAGGATTGTAGGTCTTCTTTGACCCGATTGTGCCTTTCAAAGCCTACCAAATGACATTAATCCTTAGTTTTCCCACTTTGAGCCTGGAACTTTTTCTTTGCAAACCACATATTAGCCATTACCCTTTTGAGTGCTTACATGCACTATCCCTCTCTTGGTCCAACCTTCTTGAGCGCGTCAAAGATGTGCAAATTACAAGAGCAGATCCAAGTTTGAAGTTGCAAAGGTCAAAGATATGAAGTCTCCCAAAGTCAAGGACGCAAAGAAAAAAAAGACTTATGGGAAAAGAAAAAAAAAGGGGGAAAGTGGAAAGAAATAAAGAAAAAAAAACACCCCTACAAGGTCAATGAAAGACGAGAAGGAAAATACTCCAACAAAGAGGAGAAAACTTCAAAAGAAATGGGTGAAATAAAAGAAAAACTCCAACAAAAGAGAAGAAAACTTCAAAACAAAGGGGTGAAAAAGGAAAAACTTCAAAAAATAAGGATTTAGAATAAGTCGAAAAAAGGGGGGACAACAAAGATGATCAGACTCCAAAGGTGTATCATTCGTTAGAAAGACAAATTCAGTGTGACGCTCAAAGAGGAATTAAGTCACTCTTATCCCAAATGAATATCCTACCCGTCCCTAAGCCTACATTACAATCCAATGACAAGCCCTACATGATCTCATTCCAAATGTCCTCACATTAGTGGAGATTTACATTAGGGCCAATCATATGGTATCACAGTTGCATGCGTTGAACATTCTAGTGAGTGTGAGCGCACTTCAAAAAATTTCCTCAAATAATATGCTTCAAATATGTGTGAAATAAGACTTTTCTTATTGTGAGGGCAATTGAGATATAAGGATTGATATAATTCAAAACCTTTGTTTGAAGCAAGATGAACAAATCTTGTTGATACTTAAGTATGTTTGAGGTACCACTTGAGACTGTAGGAGTTACCTTGAATTCAATCTTAGTTACAAAAAAGAAGAAGAGATTTACATGCGATCCTAACTCCTGGTACTTATTGTAGTCAAGATTTGACTGTCTCTTTATATTATTTATATTTAAAAAAAAAAATGGAGGCAAGCACCCACTCTTTAATATTTTCCGAAACATTTTTTTTAAAAATTCTATCCATTTTTAAAAAAATAAAAAAAAAGAGGAAAAATAAGATTTTGCCTTTCCTTTTTGGGTTGTTCATTGTAAAAAGTGCATTAGGTTAATCCTGTCAGTGTGAGATGCCTATTTTACTTCATTGGGTTGTCCGTCCCAAAAATGTGATATATCTTGTCTTTAAGCTTCGAATATCCCAGGGAATATTATTTTCCTATTTCATCATGTTTATATTGTGCATTTTCTACTGATGATTTTGTCAAATCATCAGTAGAAAATGCAGTATTCATCATCTACAGGATTGGAACTACATTTGACCTGATTCCTGGCTCAACATGATATGTAGGCGCCACGACGGCTCGGTCATATATCCAGTGGAATTTTCTTTTCTCATTGAAATAAACATTGGGACAGAATTTTTGAGATTTCTCAAAAATTCACAATAAATGTGCTATCTCCAGTAAGTCAAGATTGGAGATCATTTTGAGATTTGCCAAAAGTTCTAGTTGAGATAGAATTTTTTAGGAAGACCTCAAAATTTCAATGAGTACTATCAGAAGCTTGATAGTCAACTTCAAATGATCCATCATCGCTTGAAGTTCAAAGTCAACTTGCAAATCTTCAGAGAATCATCGAGCCATCAACCTCGTTACAGTGGACAATCATCGAGTCATCCATCATTTGCATTTTTCATTTGCCGAAAAGGCCATTGCATTTAAGTCGCATCTA